CTCTAACCACCTGTCCGACTTATTTTCCGATCCTTCCAAGCGATTCACCTCAGTTGCGAAACTAAGATCTGCTCTTCCTTTCCTCTCGACGGCCCTGGAGCTGAGCATATTCGGCAAACAAAGAGGAACGGAGGATCTTTCTTTAACCGACATACAGCACGTCAAATACCGGAAACCGAGACGCCAACTCCTCCAACCGTTAGTCGGAACCGCGCGTCCGGCTAAGTATCCTGTTTATTCGCGCAATAAATAGTACTCGTCGGAGTCCTGTCCGAATTCCAGAACCGGGAGGAGTTGCGCTTCGTTACATGTTGAAGGCGACGGCTTTTCGGCCTCCTCCTGGTCTTCTCCTCCTCCGTGCGCTGCTGTGGCACCTTCCTTAGAGCGCAGGGGCTCCACCTCCATCGCCTGGTCGGCTTTGGAGACGGTCGCCCCGCCCTTCTTGTTCGCCTCCTTGTCTTTCTTCTGTGCCTCCCCCTGCTTGGACCTTTTTATGTCCTTTTTTGACGGGGGGGGGGACATGCAGCACCTCCCGCCTTGTGTTTGGCCGGGAGTCCTCGGGCAGTGCACACAGAGCACTTGGGCTCTTCCGTGCACCCTTGCGCTGTGCCCCTCCCGGCCACACCTGTAACAGGTGTTGCTCCTATCGATGTGGTTCCGGCACTGCTGCCTAACGTGCCCCCGCTCGAGACAGCGGAGGAACACCAATGGGCGGGCGTCGAGCAATTCGACTCTTGCCGACGCCCAGCCCACCCAAATCCTTCCTTTGTCGGCGACCCTCTTGACCACCGCCAGCGGACATTGCACCCACACAGTTACCATGCCGCCGGGGCCTTCCTGAACTGGCCGACTTTAATTTCGGCCAGGTCGCATTCCCCCGACCGAGCCACCGCCTCCTGGATCTCTCTGTCGGTAACAGACTCGTCGAGATCCTTGATGCGGATCTCTCCGAGCTTCGTCGGCCTCGAGATCCGCACCCCCTCCTTGTTAGCGACGGCTTTGCGGATATGGTCCGCAAGCGCATCTGCTTTTTGAGAGCTGTTCGCTCCCTTGACTTCCAGAATGAGGGCCCCCGTGAGGGCCTTTCTTTGTTTCAGGGGCCCAATCCCTAGAGCGTCCAGATCCACCTTGGACCTTATCTCACGCATCCCCTGGGCATATTCGCCCGCGGGGAAGGTGATCGACACCGCTTCAGACCTCGGGGCTCTGCGCTTCTGGCTGGCGGATTGTTGTCCTTTCGCCTGTTGCGCAGGCCCCGATTTCATCCCCTCGCTTTTATTGGCGCCACTGGAGCCCTTGCCACTTTTGCTCGTGGCAGGCTGGGCTCTCGTGGCGCTACCGGTGGCTGCTGACTTCTTATCTGCCTTCTTCTTAGCAGCCTCAGCGTAGGTCCCCTTATGTTGGGGAGGCTCCGCCGCGGGTTGCCTCCCCTTCAAAGGTTCCCTAGTTGCCTGAACGTTCCTTGAAGGGTCCTGTCCCGAGGGGTCCCTCCTTGGACAGCTATTTGTCCGCTGTTGGGACTTCGGCTTCTTCTGGCTCCCCCTCGTGGCCAGTCCTTCCTTCTTGGCCGCTATTCTGCTCCCGAGTTTGCCCTTTCCGTGTTTGTTGGCGGGTTGGGTCTCTCCGCGGGTAGCAGTTCTCCCCGCCTTTTCAAGTGCGGGGGTTTCCTCCTCTCCTTGGTTCGGGGTTGTTTTGCCAGCCGGAAGTCTGGCCATGGCCCCCTGGCATCTCAGGATGACGTCTTCAATCTTGCGGCGTGCAGATGTTGCGTCCTCCTCCGTTATTGCAGTGATGGAGATGCCCTCCATCACTTGCCGCACTCCCTCCATCACGTCCTCCTTCCTTTCCTCCAGGGGTTTTTTACGCCCCCGGAGATCAGGGCGGAGTACCGTAACCTCCCCTTTGAAGGTCTCCACCTTTCTTATCACCGGCTTGGTGATGGTGGTAGGTGGGGGAGGGGGAGGGGTTGTTCCCCTCTCGTACAGGGACAGGTCCATATCTTCATCCCTGTCTCTGGGTTTGGTCCTGTCCGTGGCCGTCTCTTTTTTTGTGTTCCTCAGGGAGGTCAGTTGATCTTCGAGATCCCGGCTCTTCTCCCTGAGTCTTTTAGTCTCCTCGTCCCCGGTGAGTTCCGGGACAGTGGCCTTTGTTGTGAAGGCCGATACTGCCGCTCTGAGGGTGTTTACGGAGATTTTAAGCTCCTTAACAAACGTCCTCTTCAAGTTTTTTGACCTTCTCGCGACTTTTTCGACAACGTTGATACTATCAATCATGTCCGCTGCAAGTCTTTCAGGGGGAAAGTCAACAAACTGGCGCCTCAATTCAATCTCCGGAGTTGTTTCCCGCATATTAGGCCGCGGGAGAACTCTGGGGTCTAGGATCTCTTTGAGAGCTCGTTTCTCCGCTTTTAATTTGCGGATCTCTCTCTTGTGTTCCCTTTTCTTTCGGGCCATCAAGTAATCGCCCGTAGTAGGAGGCCTTCCTCTCTTCTTCATTTTTATCGGGACATAGTCCTCGCTGTCAGAGGTCGTTTCATCCTCTGACACATCGTCTACGTTGACGTCGACCTCTGACGTGGATATAACATAACATAACATAACATAACATAACATAATATAATATAATAATATATTATATTATGTTAATATAATATTATAATATTTATGACTATTTATGCTCAGATTGCGTAATAACACATGAGATAGATTGATTCTAGCAAAAATATTATAAAATTAGCTTACCGCTACGAAACACAAACGCAAACGGCCGTTTGGGGTCAATATCGACCCCACTCACGCTTTGCGACGGTACTGCGTCACCGCCAGCGAACAACTAAAGGTGCATTTTCACGTGTCGCTCGAACCGGCCGTTTCAGCGACAAAGGGTCACGTGATGACTTTGTCGCAGAATTGTTACAGCAGCAACTACGGCACGTGAAAAAGGGTAAGAAGCAGCACATCTGTGTTTAGAAGGCAGTTCTAACCTTTAAGTGACAGGACCTCACACGTGGTTACCAAGGTATTTCTATTAAGTTTTCTAAGGAAGACAGAATATAATAATTCTGAAATAATTCCGATAGTTATGGCTTCAAAAAAAAAACAATACTACAATTGGTTACTAAATTGTAACAAATGTATTTATGAACGTAAAGTTGAATATGAAAATAATACAGTTGTTGCAATTGCTATGTTTTTAAAATATCAAGAAACAAAAAAGGCATTATACTAAAAAGAAGTTTTGGGTTGCACTACTATTTAAAAACCGTTATGAGCACGGATTTTATAAGGCTACTTTACCATATTTACGATTAGAAAGTGCAAGATTCATGTATTATTTTCGCATGTCATCAACGCAACTTGAAAATTTATTACAAATTATTGCACCAAAACTCTACAAACAGACATTCTTAAGAGAGCCTATTAGTGCTGAAGAACGTTTGTGTTTGACTCTAAGGTTTGTTGTATTAATTGATTGCTTTAGCTAACACACAAAAATATGAAAGCGATACACTGGACAATACAAGATGATTATGGTTGCTTTCCAGCTAGCAACACTCCGCAAGGCTCCGGGACCGGATGGGATCCCAGGCCTCGCATGGAAGGCGGCCCTGCGAGAGCTCTCGGATAGGCTAAGAAGCCTGTTTGAAGCATGTCTGAGGGAGGGAGCTTTCCCAGGGCTCTGGAAGGAGGCGAAACTGGTGCTCCTCCCCGAGGAGGGGAAACCGGCGGACTCCCCGTCCGGGTACCGGCCAATATGTCTCCTGGATGAGGCGGGGAAGATGTTCGAGCGAGTCATCACTACCCGCCTCGTCCGAAGCATAGAGGGGGGAGAGGGTGAGGGCCTTAGTCCAAGGCAATTTGGGTTCAGAGAGGGACGATCAACGATCGACGCGATAAAATGCGTCCGGTCCCTCTCTGAGCACATGATGAGTGAGGGGGGAGTTGTGCTGGCGATCGCGTTGGACATCGCCAACGCATTCAACTCCCTCCCTCACCGGGAAATAAAGAAGGCCCTCGTGGAGATGAGAGTCCCCTGTTACCTAAGGAAGGTAATATGGGACTACCTCGATGGCAGGCACATCACCTGCAGGGATAGACGGGGAGAAGACAGGCGGTGGGATGCTGCCTGCGGTGTCCCGCAAGGATCGGTGTTGGGGCCGATCCTGTGGGACGCCGCCTATGATCGGGTGTTGCAGACTGCCCTCCCCACTGGCTGCACAATGGTATGTTATGCGGATGACACGCTGGCCAGTGGGGAGGACTGGGAGGAGGCGGTACGAACCGCCAACGTAGCGGTTGCCTGCGCGGTGCGCGCTATTAGCGCACTGGACCTCCGCGTGGCCGCGAAGAAGGCAGAAGCTGTCTTCCTCCACGACGGCACGCGGGGGCCTCCGCCAGCAATGGCGATCAAGGTTGAGGACATCCGTGTCCAGGTGGGGGCCCAGCTAAAGTATCTGGGCCTCCACATTGACGGGTTATGGAGGTTTGAGGAGCACCTCAAGAGGCTGACACCCAGGTTGGACGGTGCTGCGAACGCACTGTCGCGCCTAATGCCCAACCTGGGTGGACCGTGTGGGAGAACGAGGCGACTATACGCGAACGTCACCAACTCGATCGCGTTGTACGGTGCCCCCATCTAGTCAGCCGCCCTGAATGGCAACAAAAAGGCGACCGCGGCGCTGCGTAAAACACAGCGTCGCATGGCCATCAGGGCGATACGGGGGTACCGTACAGTCTCCCACGCGGCAGCCACACTGGTGGCCGGGATGCCCCCATTGAGATACTTGCGGCAGCACACGCTCAAACATATGAGCGTGTCGCGGATCTCAAGGCTGGGGGGGGGGTCCCGGTAACGAAGAGGATGAGGAGGCTCCTCAGCCTCCAGATAAAGAGGGAGGCAAGGGAGGAATGGCGGACCTGGCTCGGGGAGCCAAACCGAGCGGGCCAGCACACGGTCCAAGCCATCCTCCCCCGCCTTGACGAGTGGCTCGACCGCTCATGGTCCTATAGGACGACGCAGGTACTCACCGGACACGGCTGTTTCGGTGAGTACCTGCATAGGATAGGGCGCGAGCAATCCGCGCATTGTCATCATTGCGACGGGGAGAGGGACTCGGCGCAGCACACTCTGGAAGTCTGCCCAGCGTGGGCAAACGAGCGCCGAGCCCTCTCCAACATCATAGGTGCGGACCTCTCTCTCCCGGCGGTAATTAAAGCCGCCACGTAGAGAGAGGACGCTTGGGAGGCGTTCTCCTCCTTCTGCGAGCATGTTATGCTGCAGAAGGAGGAGGCCAAACGGATCCGAAGGGGGGAAGCCGACCCCCCTGGCGGATCCCAACGAGGCGGAGCAGGTGTGCCCCAAAGGAGAGGAGCACGCCGACTACCGGCCCACTTTAGGGCCAGGTGATAACGCGGGGAGGGAGCGGTGGACCGTCATGGTTAGCCGTACTTCCTCCCCCGCGACGAACGAAGAGGAGAACTGGCCCAAGAAGGTCATAGGCACAAAACAAAGTGCAAGGAAAGGATTCGGTCCATTTTTAGAGCGTACGGGTGCCGCTATCGAATAGCCCCGGGGTAGCCCCTGCCTGTCGTAAGAGGCGACTACAAGAGGAGGCGAGGATGCGGTTAGGACCGAATGGGGGTGGGCACGGGCTGGAGACCCGTGACCCATCCGCCCCCAACAACAACTAGGGGGCGCGGCGGGAAGCCCGGTGGCACCCCCGCCGCAAAGCTAGGCGAGAGAGAGGAGATGGCCCTTCTAAGGGCCGCGCCGGTGTATCGCGATCTTATGAGGCGCTATGCGCCTGCGTCTCGCCCGACGGGTGTTCGGTCGGGCGGCATCCGCCGGGTGGAATGCCGGGAACGGTGCATCGGGGGGTGCATCGTTACATAATAAAATGAAAATATAATTTTATGTATCCATACGGTGCGAATTTCTTCTTTCCGTTTGCACACTCTCCCTTCCACAGCATATTTTTCCCCTTTACCATAGTGGCATTTTTTAATTTATCCCAATCTTATATGTATGGGTAGGAAACAGAAGAAAAATGTTAGTCAAACAATAAATTTTTATTTTCAATTATAAATTTATCGTTCTCATCTCGTTTAAAAGCCTCAGCAATAATTTCATCTACGACATATGCTATTAGTTCACAATCTATGGCCGAAGATTTGTCATATCAGTTGTGCAGTATTCTAACTGCATCGTCTCTTTCGGCACCGTTCAAATTGCCATGTAAGCAGCTCACAAGTTGATCGAAGCTTTGATCTATATCGCCTAACTTGTCACACAGTTTGCGATATACGTGCCCGACACAATGTTCGAGTTGGAATAAAAATAATACAGTTGGTACTTTCATATACATGCAAGTATTGTTAAATGTTAGCTTTATAATTTTTTCGCCGTACATTGTGACGAGTTCTAAAACTAAATCGTTAATATGCATCGATGATGTTGATGGCGATGACGCATCTGCTGTTTTCAAGAGCTGCTCAATTTCTGCGCGTTTCTTATTCAATTCCGTCCACATTGAATAATCTAACGCCATCCGATTTCCGCGATTGTCGCCGAGAATGATTTCCACATAGGATGCACCAGATACCACGCAGATTCCAACATCCAAGTATTTGTATGCAGTGGATGTCAGGGCGAATCTCCTACTCATGATACGAGGCGTGTAGCAAGGTTTATCGGAACTGAAAGAATATATAAAGTAAAAATAATTACAATTAAATGATGAAAAGTATGAACGAATATACGATAATTTCATGGTACTTACGCATCATGTTGTTTCTTGCACGAAACAGTTTTATCTCGAGAAACGGATGGTGTATAACTTTGAGGAATGGATGGCGTATAACTACTTTGAGTAACATACGGCGTGTAACGACGATTGCTAAAACAGTTTGAAAAAATACAATTAAATGTGGAAAAATGTATGCAATATATGATAGCTCTATGGTACTTACACGTTACACTGTTTCTTGCACGATATACTCAGAGGAACGTACTGATTCATTCTTCTAACACTGTGTTGAAAACACCGATGAAATCGACTCACTCTGACGGCGGCGACTGAAACTCTGAGGTTTAGTTCTCGATCTCGTATAAAATCTCCTACTGTGGTACAGCGGGTTTCCGGACCGTTTATATACCATAAAAAGTCGCTGTCAGCAGCCAGGTTTCGGCGCTTGACCCCGTGACTCATAACATGGAAATAAGAATACGCGCAGCTGTGGTATCGGCGCTAATCAAAGGCATCTCCGGTGATATCTATTACATGCCGATGCAGTAGACGCGAGTTTAAACGTGGAACTTCCTGGCATCACGCACCTAGACAAGAAAGTCGCTGTCAGCAGCCAGGTTTAGGCGCTTGACCTCATGACTCATGCCATGGATGCGCGCAGCTGTGTGTCTGCGCTAATCGTTTGTATATCGTCATCCCCCGGTGATATCTATTACATGCACGTGTCGCGGATTGCCTCGCGCCGCGGACCTCCCCGCGCCGCGGATCGCGTAGCGCC